GTTAACCAATGTCATAAAACAACATGTGTACTACTGTTTCATGAGAAACTATTTGTTCTGTAAGCCTTCACCTGAAGTACAATAAAAAAAAAAAAAGTAAAAAAGAAAAAAAAAGAAGTGAGCAAAAGATAGAGGAAATTCACAGAAGAAAATAAAAATATTAAAAGATGTCCAAATTCACTAAAGAATTTATGGGAATGCAAATTATTGCCACAATAAAATAGACCATATGCATCAGATGTGCAAAAATTAAAGGGGACAATATCCAGCACTGACGAGGCTGGCTGAAGACCAAAAGGAACACTCATATGTTACTAGAAGTAATGAAAGCTGGTACAACCACCTTAGAGAGCAAGTCAACAATACTTAGAGCAGATGCTATGGATTTAATTGTATCCCCTCAAAAAAGATACGCTGCCCTGTGCCTGTGAATGTGACCTTGTTTGAAATAGGGTTTTTCTTTTGGTATGTTAATGAGGTCACACTGGAGTAGAGACAGTCCTAAACCTAATCACTTCTGAGTGGTTTCTTAGTAAAAGGGAAAACAGACAAGGAGAGACACACAAATGGAGGAAAGAAACCTTCTGTGAGGAACCATCTACAAGCCAAGGAATGCCAAGGAATGCCAAGGAATGCCAAGGGCTACTGACAAGGAAGAATCCTCTCCTATAGTCGATGCCCTAATTTGGACTTCTAGCTTCCAAAACTGTGAGACAGTAAACTTCTGTTCCTCAAGGCCACCCATTTGTGTTATCTTTTTACATGGCAATCCTAGGACCCTATGACCCAACAGCAGTGGTTTTCATCTTTTTTGATGCATATAAATAACCCATATGAAAGTTTCACAAAATAATTCTTACCATTACTACATGAGATGCTTGGTGATACCTTCTTTTCTATTTTTTTCCATTTTATTCTATTCTACCCTACCCTACCCTATCCTAATCTATCCTATTCTATTTCATTTTAAAGAAAAAATGCTGGTCCCAGCCCACTAAATTGATTTCAAGATCACTAATAAGTCATCCTGGAGTTTGGAAAACACTGCCCTTGATGAACTCCAGAGCATGTGCACAAGAGGACTGGTACAAGAATGCTCATTTGAAAATTGCCTGCAATAGAGAAAAATTAAACAGCCGAAGCATCCATCAATCAGAAAACTGATAAACTGCAGCATATGCATACTATACAGCAATTATCTGGAATCAACACAGATAAATCTCCAAAACAATGTCACAGAATGATATAAAGCATGCCAAAAATGCTATTCTAATGCATTGTAGATACTGATATATGCATGACTCGCCTCTGATAGGGATTTTCTTAGTAAAATTCTGATGGCGGTAATGCCAAAAATAAAATTTCCCATGTAATTCTATCAATGAATTGGTATATATGGCTTTTCCATGACAAGAGAATTTTAAAGATTTTAAGCTTTATTAATCACAAAATATGAAAGGACAAGGTTGGCTAATGTTAATGAAAACAAAACCACAGAATCAAAACACAACCATTCTAATTTTGCCTCTACCACTGGCACACAAATTAGATAAAGGTTTGATAACGGACAACTCATAAATGAACCACAACTTCTTTTCTCATCTGTGAAATAAAATTATACCGATACCATAGGAAGATAATGACTAAATAACATAGGCAAGGTATATTAAGTGTCATAGGAGAAAAATCTGAAATAAGGGGCAAAAATTAATATCAGTATATTAGAATAGCAAAAGGTGATTTCTACTCTGGTTTAAATCTGTTTACAAAATTCATCCTTCTCTGCACAGGAAAACCAGTTGCTATCAAGTCTATTCCAACTCATGGCAACTCCATGTGTGCCAGAGTAGAATTGTGCTCCATAGGGTTTTTAATGACTGATTTTTCAGAAGTAGATTCCCAAGTCTTTCTTCCAAGGTACTTCTGGGTGGACTCGAACCTCCAAGCTTTTGGTTAGCAGCCAAGCACATTAACCGTTTACATCACCCAGGGACTCCTCTCTGCACTGAAGCATTGTCAAAATTCCTTTGGGACCTAGATCAGAAGGTGGCATTTGTACTGGAAAGACCTTCACAGTGACAGTTATCATAACATAAGATCGCCCATATCTTAGTAACTACATGTTACTTTACTAGTTTTTCCCTTACATTTTGTTTAGGGATATATAATTTGGCTTATGTACACAGTTAATGGAAACCCTGGCGGCATAGTGGTTAAGTGCTACGGCTGCTAACCAAAAGGTTGGCAGTTGGAATCTGCCAGGCACCCCTTGGAAACTCTACGCGGCAGTTCTACTCTGTCCTATAGGGTCACTATGAGCTGGAACTGACTCAACGGCAATGGGTTTACACAGTTAATTACCCATATCAAAAAGTGCCTTGTGCTTTGCAAAATACTTTCTTTGTACTTCCTCATTTGGTTTAAATGTAATAATAATAATAAAAACTATACTATTATGGAATTGTACTGTACAGATATTTGCCTTGCAATACAAATAGAAAATGGTGTGTAAGTACTTTTCAAGCAGAAGCTCCTGCCATGGATCTCTGCTTTTAGAGGCTGCAAACTGGACACTCAAGGGATAGGGATTCATTTTTACAAGAGTAATTTTTCAAAACCAAATATATATCAACAAAAGCAAACCTGTGTGTGATATTTCCTATTTCAGCTGTTTTCCTAAGCTTATATAATTCAATAACTTATTTCCAAGTTATCTCTGTTTAGGACAGATAACTCTTTATTTTTACATATTGTATTTTCAGAGTTCTCTCTATATTTTCAATAACTACACAATTGAAGACTAGTGGACAAGAAGACAGTCTTTGATGACTGAACATGATAAACAAATCCAATTCTTATCCTCAATGGAACAGGTCAAATAGCTCATTTCCTTGTACAGAGCATATATATAGGGCAGTTTCTACATATTATAATTGGTAATCAGTGTGTCTGCTACACAATGTGTCATATTACTTGGTAATACCTCTGACTAAATAATGAGTTAAACTGATTATAGGACATGCATTCATTCACCTAATTCATTCAACAAACAGTGATTTAGTGTCTGCAGGAGGCACTGTGTTGGAAGAAAATACATAAAAAAACAAAACACACATACAAAATAATGTGAAGCAACGAATATCCAGCTCTTTCGTAGCTTGTGTCCACATGACCCCAACCCACTGATACCCATGGGCTTCAGAACTAATAAACCAGACACACTGTATCCATGACAGCAAAGCATTTTCCATGGAAACTGATAGTTTGCAGCTAATCAGGAGCTTCTAAATTCTGGTAACTATTCTCTAGAAGTGATTCCAGATGAAAAAGTAGAAAAAATCAGGAATTTCTGCAGAGAAAGACACAGTGTTTTGGATTTTCTTTTCAACTTAACAATACAAGGTCAACTCTAAAGCTATCCTGGAGAAACATAACGTATAAAAATGTTTTCTTGCAATATAGAACTCAATGCTTTTAACAGATTCTCCTATCTGGGCAACACATTTGTTGATGCTCTTATAATCAAAGAAACAGAAAATTAAAGAAAACCAATGTCTCAGAGGAGACCAGCAGACAGTTTACAGCAGCAGTGTGTTTATAAGCTCTAGACCAAGTAAAGGTAAATGGGGCAATGTGGTTTCTAACTCTATGCTTAGCTGAGTCATTAGATGTGTCTTTAACAGCTTTTTTTAGTGTCATCTATGTTATGCTTAATATAAAATAATAAACATGATCTCAATTGTCACTTGCAAAAAAGGGTGATGTTAGCTGTAACTTGGCTCCACTTGAGTGAGATGTCCTAAGTCAATGACAAGTAACAGAAACCTACACAGCTCCTAACTAAAGTGCGTCAATTATAAACAGGATGGACAAAACTCTAAACTAAAAGCACAAATTCAAAGGAAATGGTATTACTGTATGTTCACAGTAACAGCCAACTGACTTGTAGAACAGGGAAATAGAGTTGCTCTTTTAACTGTCTGTAAAAAGGCTCCCAATTTTCACCCAGAGTGATAAAGTAGATCATCAGTCCAACTCAAAGCTATATTTAGTCTGAAGAGATTACTGAGCACATCAATGCCTGTCTTTTCCACCACATAGAGCAAAAGTGTCACTTTCAAGTATGAAAAATAATCAACATAAACTATGCAAATATTTTTAAGTTAGTATACTAACTAAAAGAACTGGTATGTGAGGCTCATTTGTAAATCCATTTGAAATTTATATCCTTATAGATGTACTGCAGTTTTTAAAAAAATACTAACATGCCTGTTAAATAAAATCCTGTTAAAAACCTTTGCCTCAGAAGGTGAACGTGGTAGGCCCTCTTGGTCTTGGCTCATTTCCATTTGGA